GGGCGGGGCCTGGGCCGGGGGGCGGGGCCTGTGCCAGGGGGCGGGGCTAAGGGGCGGGGCTTGTGCCAGGTGAGTGACTGTGCCAGGTCAAGGGTGAGGACAAGGGTGGGGACACACCTGGAGGGGGGTGGGGACTTTGCCCAGGTGTGGTGCCGCAGCTGGGTGTGATGCCCACCCCCAGGTGCGATGCCCACGCTCAGGTGAGGTGCCCACGCCCAGGTGAGGTGACCAGGTGCAGTGCCATGCCCAGATGCAATGCCCGCGCCCAGGTGCAATGACCACCCCCAGGTGCGGTGCCCACCCCCAGGTGCGATGCCCGTGCCCAGGTGCGATGCCCATGCCCAGGTGAGGTGCCATGCGCAGGTGAGGTGCCACGCCCAGGTGCGATGCCCATGCCCAGGTGAGGTGCCACGCGCAGGTGAGGTGCCACGCCCAGGTGAGGTGCCACCCCCAGGTGCAATGCCCATGCCCAGGTGAGGTGCCACGCGCAGGTGAGGTGCCACGCCCAGGTGAGGTGCCACCCCCAGGTGCAATGCCCACGCCCAGGTGCGATGCCCACCCCCAGGTGTGATGCCCACACCCAGGTGCAATGCCCATATGCAATGCCCACGCCCAGGTGCGCTGCCCACCCCCAGTTGAGGTGCCACGCCCAGGTGAGGTGCCACCCCCAGGTGCGATGCCCACGCCCAGGTGCGCTGCCCACACCCAGGTGTGGTGCCCATGCCCAGGTGCGATGCCCACCCCCAGGTGCAATACCCATGCCCAGGTGTGGTGCCCATGCCCAGGTGCGCTGCCCACCCCCAGGTGCGCTGCCCACGCCCAGGTGCAATGCCCACGCCCAGGTGCGATGCCCATGCCCAGGTGCGATCCCCACGCCCAGGTGCGCTGCCCACGCCCCTCACCTCTTGGAGCCCTTGGCGAACTCCACGTTGATGCTCTTGCCGTCGATGTGCAGCGGCGGGTGCAGCGCCTGCAGCATCTGCAGCAGCTGCGCCGCTTCCTGCGGGGGCACGGCAGCGGGGCGTGGCCGGGGCACCGGGCTCCAGGGGCTCCCAGTCCCTCCCAGTCC